AGCATGTACACTGGTATAGAGAAGAGCTCTCGACATATAGAATCAAGGACAGACAAACCCCTCAGGACCAATCATGAGAGTAGTGATACCACGAGGGTGGGGAAAAGGGGGAGAAACGGGGAACTGATTGATGTACAACACCCCACCCCACCCCCGCACTGGGGGGATGAACAACAGAAACATCTTTGGAGGGAGACAGTGGACGGTGTATAATATGAAAATAAAAATAATTTATAAATTATCAAGGGTTAGTGAGGGTGGGAGAGGGGAAAAAAGAGGAGCTGAGACCAAGGGTTCAAGTAGAAAGAAAATGTTTGGGGAATGTCGATGGCAACATATGTAAAGTGTGCTTAATACAATTGCATGAAGGATTGTTATAAGATTTAAATGAAAAAAATTTTTAAAGGGCTATGACTCCTTTCAGAAACAAATCCCCATGAGTGGCATCAGGGGGTCCTCTGAGTGGCTCAAGTGCCCACCTTTAGGCTGGCAGCGGAGGGCCTCACCGTTGGCACCACCAGGAGCCCCCTATACTTATTGTGACTTGTTCTCATTATTTATTTAGGATTCTGCAAGTACATTTTCTTATTGTGGGGATTTGTAGACACAGAAGAATGGACCACTCTGTCTCAGAAGGAGGACAGTCAGACCAGAAGCAGGAGCAGAGAGACTTCAACTCGTGCATTTTGACATGTTATCAGGAGGGGCCAGTTCCTGGAAAGGGATGCCATGCTTGGTAAAATAGGAATAAAACAAAACAAAACAAAAAACCCAAACTCACTGCCATGGAGTCAATGCCAACGCATAGCGACCCTATAGAACAGGGCAGAACTGCCCCTGTGAGTTTCCCCGACTGTCACTGTTCACACATAGAAAGGCCTGTCTTTCTCCCAAGGAGCGGTTGGTGGTTTCAAACTGTTGACCTTGCAATTAGCAGCCCAGTTCCTAGCCACTACACCACCAGGGTACAAGTAGAGGGTCATCAAAAGGAGGAAAACCCTCAACTAGGCAGATTGACCACAGACTGACCTCAGCCAGAGCCACGATTGCAGGGATGGAGCTGGACTTGGTCAGCGTTTCCTTGTGGCACATTGGGAGTCAAGACCGACTGGACAGCCCCAAGGACCCCCCAGAACCCCTAAGTGCCAAGTCGGCAGGCCGCCCGATCCTCGCTCACCTGAAGGTCACCGGGGAGATCTTCCCCATGAGGGCGTAGGCTGTGACGCTCTGCAGGTGGAAGAGCGCGCCATCCATCAGCAGCAGCAGCAGCACGTCCTGGCTGTACCGGAAGCTCTTCCCGCTCCTCCCAATCACTGGCATGTCCTGGCACGGAGACAAGAAGGGCACTCCGCTTGGCAAGGCTCGTGTGCCGCTTACCGACCGTCCTCGCTGCCAAGATGTCACACACACCTGGCAACCCAGGTTCGCAAGCGCCACCGTGCAGGGCTCTGAAGATGGCGTGTCAGGGCCGTGGAGGAAGAGAGGTCAAGTCCTAAGCCCAGGCCCCTGGGGACAGGGGCCTGCTTGGGGATTAGGTCTTTGCAGATGTAACTCAATAACTCGCAGCCGTTGACTCAATTCTGACAGACCCTCTAGGACAGCGTAGAACTGTCCCTGTGGGTTTCTGAGACTGGAACGCTGGGAGTAGAAAGCCTTGTCTTTTTCTCAAAGAGCTGGCTGGTGGTTTCAAACGGTCGACCTTGCCGTTAGCAGTTCAGTCTGCATCGGGGCTCCTGGTGAAGATGTCATCGAGTTACAATTTGGTCATGGTGGATGAGGGGTGTGTGTGTGCGTCTCTAAATCCACTAGCTGGTGTCTTTTTATAAGAAGAGGGAGATTAGGGGACACACACACACACACCCACACACACACACACACAGAAGACACCCAGGTGATCCCAGAGGCAGAGGTGGGAGTGGTGCAGCCTCAGTCAAGGAACTTCCCGGGACAGAGGACAGGAAGAGGTCAGGAAGGAGGCTCCGCTAGAGCCTCCAGACACAACCTGACCTTGCCAACACCTTGATTGTGGACTTCTGGCCTTCAGAACTCCCAGAGAACCAGCTCCCAGTGTTTGAAACTCCCCAGTGTGTAGGGGCTCTGTCTGCTACCGCAGCCCTAGGAAACGAGTTGACAGCCCGTTTGTAGCACACATCTTTCAACAGAGAGACTCTCCGGCAACCTTTCCCATTCCAGGTATTCATCCTGGGAAGAAAGTAGGAGCCTTGGTGGCTAACCAAAAGGTTGGCTGTTCAAACCCACCAGCTGCTCAAGAGGGAAAACAGAAAACAAAAACCCAAGGCAGTCTGCCTCTGAAAAGATGTACAGTCTCCGAAACCTCATGGGCGGTTCCAGTCTGCCCTCTTCGGTTGATGGGGGCAGAATAACTCCACTGCAACAGGTTAGTTGTGTGTGTGTGTGTGTGTGTGTGTGTGTTAGCCCAGGGAAACACTCTCATTCGCAACATGTGGACACAAGAAGCTCCCCGTCACATGTTGGTAACAGTGTCAAGCAGAAGGCCAGCCAGGTGTTCACCGTGAAGGCAGTCAGGGGTCTCAGAACAGAGCTGCCTTTTACAGCGAAAAGCTACTGTTCACTGTGCCCCCGGGCGAGACTAAGATCAAGACAGGCTGCCCTCACGCCACCAAAAACCGTGTGCAGAGGGCAGACACGTGTCTGTCGACACAGAGTCTCACGTGCACACACCTGTGCATGTCTACCTGCACAGACCGTATCTGAGAGGGCAGGTCCAAGGTCTCAGGAGGGTGTGACCCCAGGAGAGGGAGGGGGCGGGTGGTTCAGTTGATCTCGTCTGTGGACTTTCGGCCGCCCTGCAGGGAGGAAGGCCACGTTGCTGCCGGCACCCACCATGAAGAAGATCCAGGCTGGGATCAGCATGACCATGGCGGCGGCGCTGGTGTAGAACTGCAGCTCCGGGGCCCTGGAGAGGAGAGAGGAGGGGCCTGAGCCGAGGCCGCCCTGCTGGGAGGAGCCACCTGAACCAGACACTTCCCAAGGAAGCTCCACTTCCCAAGGAAGCTCCACTTCCCAGGTTCTCAGCAGGGCGGTTCCTCTCCTTCCTCCAGGCTGACAGGCAGGAGCTGGGCAGCTGGTGGCTGCCCAGGATTAAAAGCTGTCCGGAGTTTCAACAAAGTACCTTTACCTGTTACACATTTCGATCGGGAACTGGGTGAAGGAGCCAAGGACTTTTAAAGCCATGAAGGCGGTCCCTGTGGGGTTGTGTGTGTGTGTGTGTGA